AAAACAAAGTTGAGAAAATTAGAAGAGGGGAAAAACTATGTAGAAAATATAAAATGGTAATAAGATATGGAATAGAATATAAAAATGAGCATGAAATTGAGTTTTGTGTCTGCATGAAGAAGTGATAACCTGGGACCATGCTATTTTCAAAAAAGATGTTTTATTTGTATTTTGTTTTTGTAAAAACCCAAATAAAATTAAAAAAAAAAAAGTGTCTTTGATGGAAATTCATTGCGATCAGGTAGACAAGGAATCGATTGCTGAGAATCAACAGGGTTGTTTTCCCATTCACATGAGACCAAAGCCTCATTCTGAATCTTGTTTTGCTGTGTTTGGCATGATCTATATAGTAGATCAATGTCAATTCAAATCATATCAAATGTTTAACATGGCCATAGAGTAGCACAGTTCTATAGGTAAGTTTTCTGCCCAAATTATGGCGTGTTGTTGTGTACCATCTTGCAGAACATAGATGTTGCTGTTCCGATAATCACTGCTATAAAATCTAGGCTGGATATTGTGATATTTTCAAGGACCTGCACTTGAAACTTCTTGTTATCTGAATGTCACAAAACATAATGCAAAAATGCTTTAAAACAAAGATTGTAAAACCTTGGGTTTACAGTTCCCCATTTAAAGGCAAGCAACAAATTTTTAATTAGGACTTTTCATCCTCAAATAACAACATGTATTGTATCCAATGAAGTCTGGACAATTGACTTAATTTACATCACTTGCCTCAGTTGATGCAAATGATATAAATTGATGTAAATAACATAATTACATCAATTATGACACTCCATGGTGACAATGTAGCTAAATTATGTAATTATGCAAATGCTGTAAATTACCTCGAAAATAGCTGATGTATCTCAAAAATTTTCTATCTCAACCTCCTAAAATCTGCCCATTTCTATCTACCCTCCATTGTCACCTCTTCATGCATGTATAGCATTTTCATGGCCATAACTACATTCTTACAAAATACTTCCAGCATTCCACTACTAATTCAATCAAAATTCCTTGATAGTTTTGTTGCAATCACAATAATTGTTTCTAAGTTGTCTCTGGGTGTCAAAGATCACTGCTTTCTCTCCAACTTTTTTCTTGGAGGAATAGGACAAGATGGATTTTGATATTTCTACAACACAGTTTATAATGCAAAGTTGGTTGTAGTCTGGGCAAAACCCGGAAATTTTTGAACTAATTCTAACCCTCTGGGTGAGTTAAATGATCAATGCTACTTTTGATATTTTCACAAAATTCTAATCAGGGATGGGCTTCAAATTTTTTAGCAAGGGGCTCTCTGTCCTAATGATTGGCTGGGTGGGCGTGGGTGTGACTGGGTGGGTGTGGTCAACTCTATATTGCTTCTTTGCCCTAATTACCTAAAAGAAGATATATACCAAAAAGTTGTTTATTATTACGTGCATTTAATACTTGAATAAAGGACTGGGTGAAACCAGGCTTAATAGCAGTGACTGTGAGAGGGATCTTGGAGTCTTAGATGAGTTACATGATTCTTATTATTTGGGAATTAATCCCCTCAGAGGCTAGTGGCTATGTTATCTGATTTTTTTCCAATGGCTCTCCCTCCTCAAGTGCTGAGTGGATTGTTTATCTAGCTTGCAACACTTTTACGAGGTGTGAAATGCTGTTGGCTGAATGCCCAGAAGTTCAATTAAGCCTATTAAGAGCTTTCCCTTGCTGCTTGTCTTTCTGAGGTTATTGGGGGCTCTCCGAGCCCTGCAGAGTCTTAGCTAGGGGCTCTCCTGAGCACCTGCAAACCCCCAGCAGCCCACCCCTGATTCTAATGTTCCACTGACCCAATTAAGTATATTGTGTGAACTACTGCCTGCAATTTCATCAAGACTCAGAAGTATTGCAGAGACAGTAAGATGGTGGTATGGGGTTCTTGGTGGTCTGTGAGCTTGGTTGGTTTCTTGGAGATGCTTCATTACCAGACTAAGTAACATCATCAGTGCTAGAAGGGAGTTAATACTGAAGATGTTACCTACACTGCTAATGAAATGTCTGCAAGGAATGAACCAAACTCAGAGAGCACAAGGGACGTCACAGTTCAACACTGAGCTATACATATTGTCTTCTATAAGATGGTGGTAATTCAACAGGTCTTGTTTCCCCTCAGTCTGGATTCTTCTCTACCTTCTTGCATTGACTCCGGCCTGCCTTTGCTTCTCTACCTGAGGCTGGCATTTGCCTTCTGTGGGAGGACAAACAAAGTGGTTGATGGTGCCAATGAAAGGCAACCCCAACAATGCCCTTTCAAATCTGATGGTGATTTTCAGTGAATTACAAACAAAAGTGGCCGTTCCTTAAAAAACTGTAACTCAGCTTTTCTTTGAAACTGAGGATTTGCCTTCTTCCTCCCTTTCTTTATGACAATGTACCCCCCCTCCCCACAGTGGGGCTACAATAGCACTCCTGACTGATATCTTTCAGGGACTTCTTAAAATGTTGTATTGTCTTCATATTCTGTGATAGTGCTCCATTTCTCTTGCAACACTGTGATAGTGTTCTCATGTCTGTTGTAAAGTAGTTCTGAATCACTAAATAAATACCTGGTTGTGAGACAAGAGGTAAGTATTACAGAGTACAGCCTGAAAAAGTGTAATAAATTGTAAGGACAAAAAGGCTCCCCTAAGATTATTGCCCCTTTGAGTTTAAGGATTCAGTCAAAGGATTTTTATTTTATAGCCTATAACTTGGAGGCCTAACCTAGAGAAGATGTCTGTCTGTCTGCTTGCCTGCCCCCCCTCTCTCTTTCTCATCTATCTATCATCTATCTATCATCTGTCATCTATCTATCTATCTATCTATCTATCTATCTATCTATCTATCTATCTATCATCTATCCATCCATCCATCCATCCATCCATCCAGTTACCGGTGTCTGTCTGTCTATCTATCTATCTATCTATCATCTGTCATCTATCTATCTATCTATCTATCTATCTATCTATCTATCTATCTATCATCTATCTATCCATCCATCCATCCATCCATCCATCCATCTACTGGTATCTATCTATCTACCGGTATCTATCTATCTATCTTTCTTTCTTTCTTTCTTTCTTTCTTTCTTTCTTTCTTTCTTTCT